GGTGTCGGATAGGCTTCCTGCATAGGATATCCAGATCGACTCTACTTTCGTATCGAAACATCGTTCTGCTCGTCTCTCACCGAGTACAGAGTCGCACCGAGCCGCTGCGTATCGTACGCGTCCCCGGCTCACTCAGGCTCTGTGAGCTTCGTGAAAGAATATTGCCATGCCCAAATCGATCCGGATGATGGATCTCTGGACTCCCGAGGAAAAAACGACGCGAGCTGCGTATGGGTGCGGGAAGCGCTTCATTTGTCTGCGAGTCGACCACTCTCAAGGAGCCCGCAGAAAAATCAGTTGGGAAACTTGAGCCGTCCGCCCCTTGCTCCCGTCAGACGACGCACCCCGTTCGCGGCAGCGCTGAAGAATTTTCGGCGAGGGAGATTATCTCATCTCAAACTGGGGAACTTCTCAGTCGGACGACTAGAGCTCGGATCTATGCTTCCCTGACTGAGAGGTGCCATAGAGTGTTCGGATCTATGGGATCGGAACGCAGTCTCACGGGACTCTCCTGTCATTGGACCGCCAGCTCACTAAAGGAGAAAATTGGTCCGAGCTCATTGGCGGGAACAGCTTGCGACGTGGACGCAGCAGCCGAAAAATCACTTGCTCTTGCGAATAAACACGCATGGTGAAGAGTCCTCGGACACGGAGTTCGCGCTCGCTCAGGTCGCGCTGCAGGCGGATGGGCCGGCAGAACGGGATACGGCTCCGATTTTGGAAGGCGGTGAAAAACTCGCCAGACGTTTGATATCACAGGCTCGACTGGAGTGGCCTCAGCGGAAGCAGGAATCCAGACCACGTACTCGAGTACGCTGGAGGTCCACTCGGCAGAATGAAGATTGATTTTCGATTTCGAGGATTTACTCCCAAGTTTCAAGATCGGAGAAACCGGGCTGTTTCCAATGGATAAGATACGGAAAGAGGAAGAGAGCACCGTAATAGACATCGGAGTTCAGAAGAGGGTTCAGACATCGATAAAACTGCTTCGAGAGATTTTTGAATTACGGATCGGATTCGTTTCCTCCCTTTGGAGCCGTTGGTGGAGCAGATGTCGCGGCGACGTCTCCTGGGTGTGTCAACCTATTGGGACAGAGATATTCCCAATATGTTGCTCCTGTTGAGAGCTAGGTTAAGAACACGAGCCACGCGCGGAGTTCTCCGACTTTCGACTCCTCTCCTTGTCATTCCAGAATCCTCTATGAGGCATGTCTTCTGTGCCATTGACGGGAACTTTTGGCTTCCTGCCAAAGGACATGCTCCTGCTGTATTCGTCCTCCTCCGACGAGTTCGTGGACCGTCCTGACGCGAAGCGCTCAAGGGAGAGGACTCGCGGAGAAAAACGTGATGTTGAAATGTTGTTCGTATCGGCCTCGGACTCGGTACAATGCCGCCTGCGAGCTTGTCTCCCGTCGTGTCGCTGGGTTTTCCCTTTCTTTTCACAAAAATACGAATGAATGTCGCCCCTACCGACGGGACGTCAGCTGCCGCCCCTGCCAACGGGATAATAGCTGCCCCCCCTACCGACGTCGGCGTCGGTCGCTGCGCCGCGCCGATTCTCGCATTCAATCTCGGGTGTGATCCAAATTGATGAAGGGGAAGGAAGTAATAATCGGGTAATTGATTATAATTAATTAATTCCCTTCCGCTGTTGCTCCCGGTGGTCTGTGGCGTCATGGAGCGCGGTCGTCGTGACCCGTAGCGATTCCGAGTGGCGTGAGGAACCGTCATCCGAAGGATGCGTTATCGGAATCAAGCTCTCAACAGAAAGGATTCTGTCGACAGATATCCCGCCATTTTCATCTCTAAACAACAGCCATCACCGACTGTGAGCACAACTGAAGCTCGGAAAGCACAATTCTCTTTCCCGGCAACATCGTTTCTGTAGGGCTTCCTTCCCTCATTCTCTCCGCGGTCCGAATTCTCCGTTCAACCCTCATTCTCCTCGGACCGGCCCGCACTGTGTGACCATGAGGAGGGGGGCCGGGAAATGATTCAATTACGTAAGATCCTTGCCGGGCCTACCAAGACTCTCCGCAATATAGTGGAGGCTGACGAGTCCGGAGGGGATTTCTCGCAGACGCGCCCGTTTGCGAGCCTCCTCTGGAGCGAATAGCTCGAGTTCCACTTTCCGCGACCACAGAGTACAGCTGTTTGCTCGTCACTAAACTCTCTCATAGCACAGCGTAGTTCCATTCGAGCCCTCGGGCTAGAGTACTAGACAGCCCCTCGCACGCTGTGATCGGAAGAGTCTCATCATTTTTTCGATTCTCCCCTTCTCGGACATATTGCGATGTCACGAGAATGGATGACTTCGATGTCACTTCGTTGTGTCTCAGTTTTCGCGAGATCCGCAGGAGACTCTCCCATATCTCCGCTCCCGAGGGCGTCGACTTCTTCGCTCAAGATTCGTCGTAGTTCGCTGAATCGTATTCCGAACGGCAAGTCTCGGATCGATTCCCTGCATTCGGGCTAAATTCTCTCCACCGTCGTTCGGCGGCTTTTTTCTTCATGAGGAACGGCGGCTGTTCTCAGGAGCATGGAACACACCGACGCGCACGAGGTTTGCGAGGGTGCCATCGAGCGACCGCTGTGCTATGATCACCCATTGATCGAACTTTGCTCCGGGCGCGATCCTTCAAAAAGGACAGAACTCGCTCGCCACGCCGACTTTCTAAAGTCTGAAGGCTCTGCAGTTCTACCCGTGAGAGCTTCCAATCATGACCGTGACGTCGTTGCCATCAATCCCGCCGGAGATTAATCCGGGAGTCTGCGACCATTCATGGAAGTTCGTTCAGAGCTCTCGGGAGGGGTTCTTTCTGTGGGGCCGAAAAATCGTCCGCTCGCTCTCGCGCCCTGTTGTTGGCTGCGTAAAGCCCATATGTTGCACGGTACAGGAAACACTAAGCAGACCGATAGACCGGTACGGCCACGGTGTCTGTGGTCGTAGGTGCGTGCTTCACAGCGAGTCTGTCTGCGGGCTGTTTGTCGGCAGGTCGTACGGTTACAGTTCGCTTGAAACGATATCAACTTTGCGATATCGAACGGAGAACCGATAGCCCGAGGCTTATCCTTCTGCTGCAGCCAAAAGTCTTCCGGAAGACTGCCCCCGTCTACTTTTAAGAGAAAATTGAATTCTACAGGAAGCCGACTCTTGTCGGCTTGACTCTTCGCTAACGAACTCCTCCGTCCACCGTTCCCGCGAGAGCGAAAAAAAATTCCTGAGACCTAAAATTCCGGAGACCTAACTCGGATCGTCCTCTGATCCGAGTAGTTTGTGAAATGTCCCTGGAGACGCTCGTTGTCTTGCCAATCTCGCGGAATACGATAGAGATGGGCGGAACGAGCGTAGTTATTATCGTTATCATCAACGGCGTATTTTCGGAATGTCGAGTATTTTTGTGCGTGAGCGAGACAATCAGTACGCGTCGATCCTTTCCGGATGATGAGGCCACATGCCTGAAGTCAATGCATGGGGAATGCGTGTTCCTTCGACGATCATTCGTATGATGTTCTCTTTGTTTATGCGCCTCATCGCCCTGAAAGGCCCTCCGTCAGGGACAAAGGCAAAACGCCGTATGATTTCGCGGAAAAATCTCCCGACGGAATTCCTCGGGTCGCGATACGCTGCCCTATAGAGTCGATATTCCACCGCTTCGTCATCGAGGAAACTTAACGAACCTGGAGTTTATGAATGCATGTATGTTCATGCATTTCCGCCACGCCGCGCCGTAGTTCGATCTGAATATCCTTGAGCTGATTCATGAAGTAAAAGCTCGACGTTCCGCGCCATCAGTCAAGATATTGCCTCGACGAGCGTATTGAAACTGGTTCTCAGGTGCATGATTGGAACGAGCCTGCATATCCTCCGGCAACAAGCAAAGAGGATCAACGCTCCCTCCTGTTCGAGCGGCGTGTTTCGGCGTGGGCCGAAAATTTCGCCAATGGCAATCTAAGGAATGAAGTGGCGACGTGTATCGCTCGTTCGGCTGGAGAACTTTGAAACATGTTGTCCTCTTGACCACTCCACACGCATGATAGCTCGATCTGCAGGGGAAGAAGTTCCGAGAACAAGCTTAGCCCCAGAAGGGCATCGGAGCATGTCAGCTCTCTTGCTGCTTGCTGGAATGAGCCTTGTTCCGAGAGCGACGCTCCTTGTACAACCTCTCACTCAGAATGTCGTTGCCCTTCTTACGGTACGGGTCCAACGAGAATGGAGAGCTCTTCCAGGGACTAGAAAGTCGAAGGAGAACTCTGATTGCGGGGGCTTCTCTGTCCGAAATGTCATTGTCGTCGATAAAGGCGGCGACTCGATACCGGGGGGACTCTCCGATTTCTCCGTTGTGCACTCTTAGGTTCTGATTTGATCTTCGGAATCTCCTGATGGGAAGCCCCAGGCGTCCATGCGCTGATGATTTCTCCCTAGAGTCCCTTGATGCTCCATGGAATCGACCTGATCGAGGATGAGACAAGCATGTCCCATGGGCGTATCAGAAAACTCGATGGGTTATCCCGCATGCGGGACGCATTGTCTGCGACTGATAGTTTTGAGTCGGAATCCCTCCCCCCCCCATCCGACACACACGTCAGCCGACGAGGGTAAGCCTATTTACACGGATTCGTTTTCATGGAAGCTCCGCGCCGTGCATCCCGATCGAACTTCGGTGACCGTGTCACCAGCGATGATTGGCCGTTTGAGCCCTTCCCCGAACACGGCTCCAATCGACAGCCATCGGTGCTGGACTCAGCTGCGTTGAGGAGGAGTTGAGGGAAGGTCCCAGCGGAACATATCGGACTTCCTCCGGTACCCCATGACCCCGAACCTTGGGCCGCTCGAACGACTTCTTACAGCCTTACGGTGGGAGGGCGGTTTGACATCAGAACAGATTTTTCTCGGCCTTATATCTGCATGGTACGGAACGAACTGGGAAGTACATATGTGGAGATCGATAGGAGCTCCCCTTATAAGTAGACTCAGCTGAACCGATATATGTACTCACGTCGAGGATCCAGATCTGTGACCGAGTCCAAGAAATCCTGGGGCGTCATAAAAAGTTGACCTTCGAATTCCACGGATGCGAACCTTATGAATCTCCGTTCCCGGGGCGTCAGATTGAGTGGTTCCGCTCCCTCGTTATCAACCGGTGAATCATACTGGAAGAAAAGAAAGTTTTCCCTATGAGATCAGAGCCTCTCGACGGGGAAGTACTCGAGACCTACCGCTGGAGCTGAATGATCCCTATCGCGAACTCATACGTTCCCTAGAATCCCTCTACGTAGGATTTTCCAAGCAGTCAGCCGGAACTCCCGAACTTGCTCCGGAACACTCCACCACCGATATAGACCTTCCCGCCAGGAAACCAATTGAAAGGTCTTTTCATTTGGAAGTTCCTTATTCTCCTATATGTCGAGATCCCGAACCTCATAGCGGAGTTTTTTTTCCCGCTCCACGAGGGCCCCACAACGTCCTCAAGACCTCCATGTCCCTCTCCACGCTGTGGGGAGGAGATGAGCGATTAACGCCGTAGGTTTCCTAAGAGTCCATAAAACAAGCTGCTCGCCGGAATTCCCGAGCTGTGCTCGGTCGGCTTGGCGCCTTCGCGGTCGCCCTTGTACTCGTTAAGGCTAATGACATCTCATTCCGTTTTCTCAACTCCGGGTTCTCGTGTAAACTCAGCGGTTCCGAGCGCCGCAATCAAACCCTTCGCCAGTGCGATCACGGGGGCTACTAAAAGTATTTTTGTCGTCGACCATTCCAGGGATGCGCGGCTCGATTTGAGCATTCGAGCTTGTCTCCTCCGTCTCAAAGGAGTTTGGTTCACGAACTTTTCCACCCTCGTTCAGGCGGTCGTCACTGTCGCCGCTTTCGTCGTTTTTCTCGCCGCCTGCTGCTGGAGAATTCCTCATCGTCGCCGACAAGGGAAACAGCGGCATCCTCTTTCTCTCGGAGTAGATATACCTTTCCTGTTGAAACCCAACACCGAGTGATGCTTACACTCCGCTGTTTGTCGTCGACGTCGTCGTGAATTTTACTCGCCTTCTCGGACTCTTGCCGTTCCCGAATGTGGCTGTTTTGTGTGGCTTCCTGCCTTTTTCTATCGACCGGTGCGGTCTCAAGCGAGTCGGCCGTTCCGCCGACCGAGACCGTTAACGGAACCCCAGCAGCCGCCGCCGCCGTGCCAGCGGCGAGCGAGGCCGCCGCCCCGAACGGTGGCGCCGACCCCACAACTCCGAGCGGAATATCCGTGGATGGCAACGGTGCAACGACCGAAACACCGACGCTCGTAGAACCTCTGGCGAACTTGACGGCCGTCAACGGTTCCTCGGTCGAACTCTCATGCGTGGCGCGAACGGACGGCCGTAACGTGGTTATTGTGTGGCTGCAAAGTGATGAGTTCAAGGTGTTGTTCTATGGATCGAGCCGAGTCGCCGAGGACAAGCGCCTGTCGGTGAGACTTTTGGTTGAGGACGGAAAGACCGAATCGACGCTCCGGATAAGCCCCGTTCTAGACATCGACCAAAGTAAATATATTTGTCGGCTTCCGCGCAAAGAGAAGATCTACACCGAATCCATGTATCTCACTGTCGTTGCTGAGGAGCCCGACGCAAACACGACATCATCGTACACGGACCCATCGGAGCAAATAACCACCACGAAAGAGCAATCTCCTCCCACGTCGCCACCGATGATGGAGCATCCATCGTCGGAAACAACTGTCCAATCAGAGACCACAGCTCAGCCCGCTGTCGGTGAATCGAGTACAACGAACCCGGACGTGACCGTGACCTCGAGATAGTAATTTTCGTGGCTTCCATAGCGACTTCCAAGCCCTAACTCCCTGTCTTCATTCCTCTAAGTTTCTCGCTCTCTCTCTCTGGGAATCTCCCGCGTGACTTCCTCCGTTTAGGAGCGACGACCACGTGAAACTGTATCTATCCGCATCTTTTGAGTCAGCACACATCAGCTGGAATCTCAAATCGAAGTCTGATAACTGTGTTCAACTTGTGGCCCGCGAGACCTAACGACGGGATATGGTCGAAAAACGCCTGCGCTAAGGAAACTCGCTCCGCTCCGGATACTGCACCCAGCAGTGAGCCTTCCGCGAATACCGCTGACTGACATCCGGGGAAAAAAACAAGCTCCGCTCCCCTCACGGTTGTGTTTTGTGTTTGGCTACGTCAAGTAACGCGCGATGCTCTCATCAGGGGCTCGTATTACGTTTTGTCTATAGCGGTCAGATTAGATAAGTTCCATTATGCTCATTCGAAACAATTCCGAAAGCAATAAAAATTGAAACCGTTTGCGTGTACGTTTCGTGTATCACAGAAGCCCAGCCGGAAACTCCGCGAGCGGGAGACTGCCCGCCTGCTCGCTGAGAAGACATCGCATCCGATGCGTCAGTATGAGTGGCCTCGCACCCTGAAAGTATTTTCTCGGAGCATTAGCGGTCCGAGTTCCGAGCGAGCAGGGAGTTTCCCTCGCCGTATGGATCAAGATAGAGCGGGCATAATTGTTTCAACTGCGCTGCTCGCTGCCCGAAACCGGGAATAGAATCAAAATGACTCGAAGAAAAAAATGGAGTGCAGGTACGCTGGAGGACGATTCCAGGACGCGGCCGACTTAATGAAACTCGGCCTGAGCGAATCGTGAAAGACGGAACTCTCAATGGAAACTCTCGCTTGCTCCGTTGCTCTCGAACCGAGGACAGGAACCGACAGCCTCCCTCGTTCTCTTATTTTCCCTATACACACGCGGACACGATATTCCTCTTTTCGGTTGGAGATGGAGAGCGAAGTCTGCGCTTCTCGATATCTGACAGACACCTGCACTGCCAGTGGCTAATAATAATAATCAGCTAATCGCTGTCGAGTAGCTCAGCTGGTCTGTGAATCCAACTCGATGGGATCTCGTCGAGAGACATTGTTATAGCTTCCGCAGTTCTTCCCTCGAGATAAAAGATTCTTCCCTCGGCGAATAAGTGAGTGGACGGCCGAGCTGGGCTTTATCATCGAGCGGAGACCATTCAGCGTTGAGCCTGCGAGGCGGCTAGATTGTCGTCGCATATGCGATTACCGCGGCGAGACCCACAATAACGGCCGGTGCACCTAGCTACCCACGTATGAGCGACAGCCTCTCCCATACAACGAGCAGTTCGCCTGTATCGGCCGAAGAGCGAACTCGTCACGCAGCTAGTTGTTTCTCGCTGCTTTGTCGCCCGTGCAATAGAACAATATGTATGGAGGTAGTCGTTCCGTCGATGGAGTTGTCTCTCGGACGGACTCGGATGTCTCTTGACACACCGATCTCAATACGAATCGCGGATGATTCCGCACCCAGGAGGATGGCATCCATGCGTCTCCCCTTCCATTTGTTATTCCGTCCGCTCGCCGCCGTTCCCGTCACCTTTTGTTTTTTTTCTCTCCAGCCTCTTCTCTCAACCCTTCTCATTCACTACGTCAGTCGCCCTCCGACAACGAATAACTCACAGGAGAGAATTCTGTGGGGAAATAGAGTCAGCATCACGCGTCGTCCGGTGGAAAAGCGGCGACACCGACGAAAGGCATTGTCATGCTTCTGTAGGCTTCCCTCCGAGCGATCTTCTGTTGCCGAAAACGCTTCTGTATGCGTGTCGTTCGAGGGAGGATATTCCGGAAAGACGGTCACCTATGCCTGAAAAACATACAGAGCGACAGAATCCAACGATGAGCCGAGGGAGGCGACAAGTTCGAGGCATCGTCGATGCAGGATGATGTTCAGCAAGAGCGCACACGCCCGCAGGAGGATCTTAGGAAACATATGTGGGTAGCCTCATCTGACCGCTGGAAGCAGAAACAACGGTTCCAACTCCCAACTCGATGCAGGAACTCTTTGCGCGGGTGATTGAGAGGCAGAGCAACAAGTGTGAATAATTCCGAGGCGTTTCAATGAGCTGAATAAGGAAATCAGGAAAGCCCGGTGCGCTCGTTCGGAGAGGACATACCTCATGTAGAGTGCTACGGGCTCATTCGTCGGCTGCCGCCGGCCGGAAAGGAGCCGTACATTCGGGCCAGCGGCTGCTTTCGAAGATTCTCCTCGAGAAGCCTCAGAGGGAGCGTCGTTCTGCCGCTTATACTCCCGGGCGACGTAAATAACGGTTTCAAGAACGAGAGCAGAATGCTTTCACAACTTGTTCTATGGAAGCTACGCTCGAGCTACCGTAACTAGATGGCACTGGCTGGGAGCAGCAACGCGTATCCAATAGCCCCCCGATGGGAGGACGGCGCTGAAAGCGGCAACAAAGACAAGACCAAAAAAAATCTCTCCCGGGACGGCCGTCCAGCCCTTCATGTTACGTCTGAGAGAGTCATTATTCAAATCCCTCGTCCTGCTTAATGACGGCAACCACCGAGGGCGTTCGAGGAACGAATTTCTCGTGAGGTCCCGCTCCGTAAACCGTCCCAGTAAAAACTTTCGCCTACCCGCGGATACTGCGGGAAATCCGGGAGCTCACCCACTGGGCGAAGCGAGGAGCTTCCTCCTCGCCGTTTCGTCTCGCGAGTCGGGACGACTTTACCACCGATGTCCCGGTGTTTTCGGAGCAATTTAATCGCAGAGCCCCCGGACGCGATGGGAATTTCCTCCCGAGAACAGTCATTCACGTGTCGGATTTGGCTGTCCCTGTGAGTAGCGAGCTTGACGTGCCTCGAGTATCTATAATGGAGCTCTATGGGACGATTTCCTCGTGATTATCCAGAGCTTGGAACCCGGCCGCCCCACAGCAAGTCCCGACATTCTAATCCACTCAGAATATGGGTTGTTGGAGAAAAATGAGCGGGAAACTGAAAAGCAACCCAACGCGGAGCGGTTCGCCATGTCGCCGTAATAGATAATGCGGCTGTGGAGCTCTCCTTGGTGAAATATGGAACACTTTGCATATGGCGAAGCAGAGACACAGGCGTAGACAGGGGACGAGCAGAACAGCGGAGCGAAGACGCTACGCTGTTCACGCGGGAGTTTTACGGTATATCCACGGCCGTTGTTCGACCGCGGACCCTGCGCTCGTGGGCGGCCTGCAGGGGGTGCCGGCGGTTATGTATGACAGCAGTAAAAGTTCAGGGGCCGTCTGAGGGCAGAAGAAGAATCATGGTCTCGAAAACCCTCAGTGATTGCGAGG